TAAGAAAGAATATTGTAATACATGCATGAGAAGTACCAGGGAGCTCCCAAGGATCATGCTGGTAAATATTGAGGAAGCCAATGACATCAGAACGTATCTTCCTGCCGGAGGCAGTTCTTTTGAGGTAGAAGCTGAGGAGTTCTTCTTCAGTAGGATGGAAACGGAATCCAGGAAGAGGTAGCTCCCCCAATGAATTATTGTCCATTCGTTTGGCAAAAAGATGGCAAAATGTTATTTTTCGAAAATTTTCGTTAGTATGGAATCGAAACTCAGTGATCTCCAACACTATTTATCAAAAGAAACTTTACTTCTTTTCTCTAATGAATTACTGAAGTTAGGCTTGCGGCGCTAATTTATACTAGTAATAATCATCTTGGTAATTGGAGAGACGGTGATGGAGAATATGGAAAGTTGGCCTGGGGGAAGGTCCACACGGTATAAAATTCCCCAAAGATGTGACAGGAAAACCATGAAACGACAGGTGTGGACTAGAAAATTGACGCAAAGAGGTGTTTTCTCTGCCCTTTACGGTTTCTCATCTTTTACTCCGTCAATCTGAATCTCTGAGTTGATGCACCACCGGTCCACCATCACCAGAAGGGGAAAAAAATCCCTCAAGTTAATAAAATATTTAGTGGAGCAATCTTCTTCCACAAGCAGAAATATTTTAGTGTTGGAATATATAATTGATGTTAACGAAGTTGTTTTTGACCCTCTAGAGTCTCGACTGATTACTAATGATGGCCAATTTCAGTTTTCACCAGTCACTAGTGCTTTTGGAGTTTTAGAGTAGGATTTCATGAGTTGACGAGATGGGTTTATATTTGTGGTGGTTGCCAATTGGTTCAAATGAAGAGAAATGCAATTTGATTTCTTGATTAAGAGGCTGATGAAACAGTTAAAGAGCATAGGATTGACTGAGACTACGGGTATCCCACGACCAAACTTTCTTTTCTGTTGATAGTAATAAATTTGTTTGGATAGGAGTTTATTTGGATGATTTACCGGAGATAATTACCGTAATACTTTATGTGATGTGATGCATGCGAGATAAAAAGATGATTGAAAAAAATAGAAAGGTGATTGGAATCTGTGAATCAAATTTTTCTTCGTATTGCTTTCAACTCAAACAAAGTTACAAATAGAAAAGTTCAATTTCTTTTACAAAGTTACAGCCATCACTTTAAGTCATCCCCGAGGACTTGGTCTCTTCCTCTTTTTGAGCTGTACATGATGTTATTGATCATCAAAAATTCCCAGCCACGTTCGTTAGGGGAAGGACCTCTACTTGTCATGACTTGGGAAACAAATCAAAGACAATCAAGATGACTTGACATAGGACCGCATGTTTCTTTGTGACTGTCAGATCCGCATTTGTTCTTTTGCATATGCCCAAACCAGAATAAACCACTGGTAATCAACGTCGTCATCCGGTTCAACCGATTTCGAAAAAAAAAGTTCGATAAACATGAAAAAGAAATACGATGTAACTGCTTAGAAAATGTTGGTTCTACTCTTGTTGGGTTTTCCATGTGTCGACTAATTCAACCAGCTGTCATTCGTATCAACACAGAAATCAAACCACGAAATGTATCTGCCATAAAATTGTGACTATTGACCCAATGCCTTCAGCCAATCAGCTGCCTAAATTGCACACTCTTCTTCTATGTTTCATGAGTTTTATTTGCATTTTTCAACTGAGGAGCAATAGTGATTCAATTTCGTCGTGACCTCTCAATTATTATTACATGCCTAGTGCCTCGCCTACTTAATTGCATTTCATTGTCTTAAAATAAAACACACCCGAAATCCTTGCAAGATTAGTAGACCGATTCGATTCTATCAACAAGAAAATGAGAAAGAAAGAAAGAAATGGATCACCACTACATATCTAGAAATAGACCACCACCAGCACTACGTATTTCCCCTGAGCTGTACTTATATTAGTGGTAGTAGAAAATTTTGGGGTGGGGAGGGAGAAAGAAAAAGAGAGAGAGAGAGAGAGAAGAAATTAGGAGTTAGGCCAAAGCAACTGTTTTATTTTTCGTTTGTTTTCACAATGTGAACTTGCGTGGGAAAATTCAACGTTTCAGAATCATTTCTTGTAGACGATTGAACAAATCACGCCTGAGAATCAAACAGCACAAAATTGTCCTCTGGAAGGTTTGGACTTGTCTCGAATTGAGACTAGGCTACATTCCGGTATGAGCCAATCCCCCCTAGAATGTTTGCTGGGCTGTTGTTCGTGAAACTGTACTGTATGGGCTCCATACTTCCATGCAGCTTTTACACTTGCCAATGTATACTTTCGAAAAATGTTAATTGTACTTTTTCTTTTTATTGATTGCAGGCAGCTCAAGTATCATTTCTATTACAAAATTTTCATTTATTAGACTACATTATAAAATAAATTATACGAGTGTGATTTATAATATAAAAAAAAGTAAAGTGCGATCAACATTTTCTATAAAAACTGCAAGAAAAACGATAATGCGAATGATTTTTTTCGCTACTAAAAAACTGAAGATGCAAAATTTTGTTAACGGGTCAATTTATATTTCATTGATTCAATTAAACTTCAATCAAGAGAACTACACAATTGAAAGACTGGCACGTCTGGTAAAAGATTTATGAAATTATGATTGCTAGATATTTCAACAAGCTTTTCATCATCTAGATCCTTACAAGTGTGACATGAGATTCTAGTGGAGGCCTTGAGTCGTTAGGTTTGGACAATGACCATAACAACTAAGGGCTTTTTGCAACCACTGGGCCTTTTTCTCAGTGGCCACTACCTACATGGTGGCTTATTTCCACTGGGCCTTCCACAAAAAATGCCACATTTTTGTGGCTTATTTTCAAAAAATTCAGGCGGGTGTGTTGTGCACCCGTCGGGTCCGGTGATGGTTCAGTCCCTTCCGACTTATTCCTGGGCTTCCTTAGGCCCACTCCCTTCCCCTTAGTGTAGGATAGACTAGGGGAAAAAGCCCGCGTCATGCGCGGGAGTTTAATACTTATAATTAAAAATAGTTAATAATTATTATTTAGTATTTTATAGTATAATAATTGAAGTATGACAATTTTATTCTGTGATATTAAACAGAAAAATCATAAATTACATATTGAGTAAAAATGTATAATATGCAATGAAATATAATTATAAAATATGATTAACCACTTTGCGTCTAATCTAATAGAATAAAAGATTTACTTATATCTGCTCATGCATTTTAGGGATATTAAAATTTGTTATTTAGTTTGAATTTGATTTTGCTACGAGGGCAATCCACCTCATTATCTTGTCATATGAGTGAGATTTGAACAATTAGCATACTTGAAGAAATCATTGCTAGTGGAATTTCAGTTCTCGCAAGCCAAATTCTTTGATTTATATTGATTCCAAGGACATATCATCATGAAACATCCACATTGACCAATCAATCAATTATGATTTATTGTATGATTTAGAATATATAGCAAAACATCTTCTTCTTGGTAGGGGTTACAGTCACAAAATATCAGTTTTTGACCTAGTTGCAAATATATACAATAACTAACATGCTAATTTAGATGAATAATTACCTCAAAAAGTACTAAAACATCTCAATCCACTCAATTCAAGAAAACAATTAAAAGTAATGAAGTACATACTTTAGATATGTAGCCAAATAGTTTTAAGTAGATAGTTAAACATATTGGCAAATCAAATGAAGTGAAAAATTGTCTAAATGAAATCATCAATAAAGTAGCAAACAATTTGAAAATTACCGTAACTAATAGTTAAAACAACAAAAGAGTTAGATGCAATTTATAAATGAAAAAATTTATGATGATAAACTTATTTTAAACCACAAATAACAATTAACAAATGTGATCTTCTCCCTATCAAGCCTATCTAACATGGGCAATTGAATTGAAACACTAAAAAAAGTATTGCACGTACAACTTGCAAGATTGCAGATTTCTTACAACAAAAAAAGTAGATTAGTTAAAGAAAACATACCTATTGAAAAAGATGTTGCAAAATGGGAAAGAGGAGTAACTAATATAGCAACATCTGAATTCAATAGACTACATGATTGTAGTGGGACAAAATTATAAGTAAATGAAATGAATTTAAATAGATGGGGGTTACTATAGTAACGGCCAAGAAACCAAACTTCTCTACTAATCCGTATTAATTGTGTCTTAACATCTATATATCACAAGTTTGCAAATAACTGATAAGAATGGCTTTAAGAAATTAATAGACTTGGATGTTAATCCAATTAAATTATTAAAAGGATTTTTATGTAATTCCACTAAAACACAATCTGAATTCAATTGTACCCAATGTTTAATCAGATATCGAATACTGCTACATGTTAAACTTACCCATAGTTTTAAATGTCTGACAGGACATTTAAGTAATTATAAAAAAAAACCAAATTAGTTATAATGATTCATATTCAATACTCTAATTGCACTTCAAATACTCTCATATTCCCAAAATAGCCACACCCTTGCGGTTGAAATCTTTGTCCTTAACTCATTCTTATATAGTATAAGGATTAGGTTTATCGTCTCCGATAAAAAAAAAAAAAAAACTAAAGGCTTTTTGCTTGTTTATGAGAACTTTAAATCAAGGATTTTTCAGGAATTGAAGTTCAAAAAAATGGAAAATGAATTATTGTTCTAAAGTAAAACTATTGAATTTTCTAAGAATAACATTTACTCGTTCCCTGTCCTACATGGTATTGAAAATTTACTAATTAAATATGAAAGGACACGGAATTTTAAGAACCTCAAGAATGTGTGGTCTCATAGCTGAGCTCTCGCATGATAACACCAAAATCTTGGATGGTTGATCGGAACAAATATCAAATATAATGCATTAAATAAAAAAAAAATGGATTTTGGTAGAGCTCAATTTACAGTTTATCAGAATTCGGAGGACTAAATTCGCAATTTTTAGCTTTAACCCAGTGCCGGAATTTCAAAATTTCACCCCCTCACTTTTCGCCGTTGCCGGGTCTCTCACTGTTCTGCTTATTGATCCTAACTGTTAAACCCTTCAAAAGCCCTAAACTCAAACATCGCACCTCTGAATCTCCAGAAGAAGAGGGAAACCGGAAAAACTCCATAACTGAAAGAGATGGGAAAATTTCCACCCTCCATGAGAGGAGCCAAGCTACCCATGAACGCCCTTATCAACAAAACCCCATCTCAACCCCATCCCCTCACTGAAAATTTCCCTTATTGGGCAGACAAAAAGATTCCCAAGAAAAAACCCACAAAACTGCCATCGGAAATGACATCTCAGCTCCCTGCAATCACCTTCAATCCCCCTAGCCTTTCAGAAGCCAAAACCCTTTTCAATCAGGTTATATCAACTCCAGGAAAAACCCCCTTAGACCTCAGGTTCTGTAATTCGGTCCTCCAGTCATTTTCATCCAGAGCGACCCTCCAAGATTCAATCTTGTTCCTCAATCACATGATCAAGACTCACCCTTCATTTTCCCCTGATAGCTCTACTTACAATGTGCTTCTCGTTCAATCTTGCAAAGCTAATGATTTTTCTATCTCATCCGTCCACCAGGTGCTTAATTATATGTCCAGCCAAGGTTTTCCACCAAATAAGGTGTCTACGGACGTTGCTGTGAGGACCCTTTGCTCCTGTGGACGGGAAGAGGATGCCATTGAGTTGGTTAAGGATCTATCAGGCAAGAATTTGGTTCCTGATTCATATACTTACAATTTTTTAGTTAGACAGCTTGTAAGGAATAGGGAATTGAGTACTGTGAATAGTTTCATCAAGGAAATGAGGGAGGGCTTCGGGATACAGCCTGATCTGGTGACGTATACAATTATGATCGATAATGTCTGTAATAGGAAGAATCTCCGAGAGGCTACCCGGTTGTTGGGGGTTTTGAGTGAGGAAGGATATAAGCCTGATTGTTATGTATACAATACCATTATGAAGGGCCATTGTATGTTGAGTCAAAGTGGAGAGGTGTTGGATGTGTATGAGAAAATGAAGGAGGAAGGGGTGGAGCCAGACCTTGTAACTTATAATACTTTGATTTATGGGCTATCAAAATCAGGGAGGGTGAAGGAGGCTAAGAAGTTTCTTGGCATCATGACAGAAATGGGACATTTTCCGGATGCAGTTACTTATACTTCTTTGATGAATGGAATGTGCAGGGAGGGCGATGCACTTGGGGCATTGGCATTGTTGGGGGAAATGGAAGCAAAGGGGTGTAATCCTAATGTGTGCACATATAACACATTGCTTCATGGGTTGTGTAAGGCGAGGCTGTTGGATAAAGGGATTGAATTGTATAAGGTGATGCAGGAGGGTGGCATGAAGCTTGAGACAGGATGTTACGGGACATTTGTGAGGGCGCTTTGTAGGAAAGGTAGAGTTGCGGAAGCTTATGAAGTTTTTGATTATGCAGTGGAGAGTAAGAGTATGACTGATGTTGCAGCTTATTCAACTCTGGAAAGTACTCTTAAGTGGCTGAAGAAAGCTAGAGAACAAGGCCTCGCTGCTTGATCTAGATAGATGGTACTTTTACCTCTTAAAATTGTTGAACTGAATGTTTGTTGGCATTCAATATTGGTCTATTAGGACTTTCTCTGTATTTATATGCAGATATATATTTTTAATATAGTACGTGCTTGGTCCATTATTCTTTTAGATAGAGAAATGGATTTGCATAGCTTTACTGTCAAAACTCACTATAGCCCATTCACACCCATCTGCATTAATTCTTGTATCACAAAGTCTGTGAATATGGACCTATGTGCATATGTAGACATATACATCTGCCATCTATGCAAGACGATAAGAGTAAAAAACTGAACCAATTTTTTTGTCATTGACCAACTCAGCATTACTTCAGTCGCTGCTTATGTTTGTTTATCCGGATATGAGGATTGCCTTATTGGTCAGATAAAGAAAAAGGATTCTAAGAAAGTTGTGAGAGTCCTTGCAAGCCTTTCACATGACATCAAGTTTGCAAATTAGCACATTATTTCGGTGATTATATGAAGCATTAAATGATAGAGTTTTTCTGTGCCAATTTTTTTTTTCTCCCCTCTGGAAATACACCCCAGGTGGGAAATTGTGGTTCCAACGAGATCCATTCTTCTAATACTCTGGTAACCAAAAATGTGCCTCAAAAGTCTGGCATATATAGCTCCCACTGGAGAAACTTTTGCTGTTTTTCTATATAGAGAATTTTAAAACAGTAAGGGAAATAGCATGATTTGTAAATGGGGTTAGCAATTATTTTAGTTTTAGCTGCACCAGATATTATTAATGGCAAAAGCATAATAGTATAAAACTCAGGGTAATGACATTCTAGTTGTGCTGCTTTCCCTGCCTGCCTAATTGGGGTGTTACTTGTAGAATCGATAAAGCCATGAAAGGGCTGGGTCAGTTGTTTTAGCTCTAGCTGCAGCATACAAAGCTGTTATGTTCTCTGGTGGAATAGTTTGTTTTGGTGTGTTATAGGTAACTCGTTCAGATATAGTCTTGAAGTCTTGAGTCTGGTGTACAATTGAATTTTGCTGTTTTTCATATTTTTAGTCATTCAGATTGTGGCCATTAGGCTGAATGTCTACATCTTTTGAGTTCATATTTTTCATGCTTTGAGTATCAGCAATTCACCATCAGTTTTACCCCTTATCTGCATTGAGGTAGAAGTAGAACCCAAGTTTCTTACTAAAGTTGCCTATTTGATGATATTTTTGATATCTATATGCTAGGTGCTTTCCACTGGGCAAGTCTCTGGCGGTTTCTTGCTGTGTGTATGGCAAAAGTCAAAAGCATTGGCTACAGAAGTGCAAGCAAGTTTCCTGGTTCAAAGTTGAAAGAATTCTTGAAATATGGATCAACCCTGCTGTGTCTCAGTCGGAAATGGTCAAGATCAATTCTTTTTGTGAGAAATGAGGATGGCCTGCGAAACTCTAAAATGAAAATGCTGAAAGTAAACTTCTTGTTGCATACACAGCCTTACCAGCCATATTTTCTTAATACGAAGTTAAAGAGCGATTGGAAATGCTGCAATTCGAGTGGAAAGCTGAGTGCATTACGCAGCCAAAAGTAATAGAGATCCATTTACTATAACCCGTTTTGAACCCCTGGCGCGAAGTTGGTTGACTCTAGCTGGCATTCTTGACAGCACACCCTTCATTTCAACTGGTCATGAAGCTGCTGGCAATCCATATTTACCTTATGGCTCTGATGATGGGTTTTCAGTTCACCGCGCCCCCCCCCCCCCCCAACAAAAACAAAAATAACATCATCTTTCCTACTCAATGGAAAAAGATTGCATTTCTTTTGTTGTTCGTAGTAGATCCTGAACTAGACCCCAAGATTATAAGTATGTGCCCTTCAATTCTTTATGTGCAAATAGGTAGAGGAGAAATGATCTGCTCATTTGATATAGACTCACGAAAGCATCTCCGGCTTGGCTGTGGGTAGGGGTGAGAATTTGTTGAGGGTAGTTATATGCTCTCAATGTTTGACTAGCTGCCACGGTTAAAAAAAAAAAAAAAAAAAATCTCTATAGCAAATAAAGTATACTAAATGTAAAATGAAAGTTTGGTAGATAATAATCAGAAATAAGCACTTCTTAAAAAACAAAGACAAAGTATAAAAAAAAAATGCGAAAATTAGTCTCTATACCATTATTTATTATCAATGTGAGGCATTCATAACCATGGTTAAAACTTCTTCAATTTAAATGATAGTTGAATTTTTCTTTCTTTTTTTTTTCCTGTTTTGTTTGTCTTTGATTTCCTGCATAACATGTACAGTGTTGTCTTAGTTGCTATTATAAAATTATAGTAATCAAAGAAACTAAACAGTTGATTTGTTATAAAAATATTTGATTAAAAGCAACTTAATGTTTCATAATTGTTCAAAAGTAGTACTAATCCTATGGTAAAGTAAGATACTAATGGTATGTTTTTATAAAGAAGCTAATTGTTAGTTTGGTATAAGACACTTTACCAAAAGAAATTAAACAAAATAACAAAAAGAATTACTGGGGAATATTTAAAAAACTTTAGGTGGCGAATTACTGCAGCCGACAAGTTGCAGCCTTCTTCCATGCTGAAGATACTGTTATATTTTATGTCAATGGTGTCAAATTCCATGACTTATTAGCATACACTGTTGGTGTTTCTTTGTCTACTAAAAAGTAGAAAGACAGCCTCTCCAGCCAGATCTATTGATTTTAAGATAAGGTAAATTTCGACCTTGAAATGTTTCAAGCAGAATATTTCTAGTTTCACTAAGTAACAACTACTAAATAGAACAAGAGGCCTCCAAATCTGCAGCTACTGTCACAGACAGAAAACTAAACAATGTCTAAAACCTTGTCATCCCTCTTTTTCTCCACAATCAAGATTATCAGTTCACTGTTTCTGACAATCTGTTCCAGACATAGACCAATGCCAACTATTTTTGTTGAAACAACGACCTTTCTGCATAGGATAAACAAATTCTAACGCAAATAATAAAAATCCGTAAGCGAATCAAGGAAACCATGCATGATACTGTGGGGAGTCAAGTTTAAGAGACTCTTGCAGGCAGCAATATTATTCAAATAACCGAAGTAAATGCCATAAAGTAAACAATTGTAAACGTTGCCTTCCTGAGACCATACGGTCTCCATATAACAACATAAACTATCACCGATTGTTGGGGAGACATGCAACAAAATCAATTCAAGAGGTAAGGGAATCAGAATGCTGTCACATGCAACTGATTTCCACGAGACCCTTGACAGGTATATAAAGAAACTCCATCGCAAACAGTCCTTCAACCTTCTCCATCGACATTAAGCTACTTACTAGCCTAACCAAACATACAAAGAAAATGGCAAACAGTTCTGTATCTTTTGGCCTTCAATACACTGCTAGATCCATTAGTTTACCTTCAAGGTTACATCCCAATGCCATCAGGTTTGAAGCAGAGCTGAACAAATTAAAGAACTGGGAAGCATCTTCCCTTTCAATAACAGAGCCCTTGTGTGAAGTCGCAATTCAAGCTGGTCTAGTTGGCCTTGCTGAATTATACAACTGCACTGAGGATCTCATGCAGTCTTCAACGGCACAAGCAGCTCTTATTCAACATCAAAATGGGATAGTTGTGGAAGAATCACTTGAGAGATCAGTCGAGTTACTAGACTCATGCGGCATCGTTCGTGACTTATTTTTCTCCGTTAAGGAACACGTTCAAGAGCTTCAATCAGCACTAAGACGAAAAAATGGAGATGCCAGCATTGGAAAAGACATAAGCCGTTATCTTTGCTTCAGAAAGCAAGTAAAGAAAGAAGTAGCAAAAAGCCTTAGATCATTGAAGCATATGGAAAGCAGAATTGGATCTTCTCATGATGTTCTAGACATAGATCATCATTTAGCAATGGTGATTAGGGTCTTTAGAGAAGTGACTGTTATCACCACATCTGTCTTGAGATCTCTTTTAGTTTTCTTGTCTTCACCAGCTTCAGCAAGGACAAAACCTAGTGGCTGGTCTCTGATTTCAAAGTTGATGTTAACAAAGTCTGCAGTTGCCAATAAAAGCCATGTTCTCAACAACATGGGATGTGCTGATCTTGCTCTTACATCCCTTCAGGGACACATAAAAAATGGTGGTATCAAAGCTGACGTGCAACTGGCTAGAAAACAATTGCAGATGCTTGATACCAGTATTGAAGGTCTTGAGACTGGAGTAGAAGGCTTGTTTAGGCAGTTGGTCCGATATAGAGTTACGCTTCTTAACATGCTCATCCATTGAGGGGAAGGGAAAAAAGAGAAAGAAAGAAAAAGAAAAAAAGTTGAGGAGAAAGGATAGCCTATATGTAACAAATACAAATTTTGTATGATTATGTGAAATACGATTGAATGTGAGTGCTGAAGAACATCTTTTACCAATAGTACCAATATCATTTGCAAGTACTTCTGTTGTAGCATTTTTATGGTATTTAGTATTCTCATTTTGCATGTCAAATCCGCGAGAAGTAGAGCAGAACCATGGATGATAAACTTCAATCAAGATTGCAATACTTGTCTTACCCTGGAGTACATGAGCTAGAAAATTAAGTTTGACGGGGCAAAATATGTGTACATACAAATTTTGGAGTCAACATAAAATTTTTGAAAAGTTTTTGGGGGACAAATTGCTGAGTATATAAAAGAAATTTTAAAAATTCTGAAACTTATAAAGAGAGAGAGCATGATTTTCTATAGAACATGGAGTGGCAATACTAAATATATATAGAAACCTTTGACAATTCTCAAAATTTTATGAGGGGTGAAGCATGCCCCTCCTCCCCCCACCCCCTCTCCCAGTTCTACCCTTGCCCTGAAAGGAAAAACAAAGAAAAACAAATGATGATTAGTAATAAGTTATCAAAAGCTATAGCACTGAAAGTTATTATTCTATTCACTTTCCCTTCAGAATTTTAGTTTTGAAATATAAGGTTTCATCTTCTTGTCTTCTACATTGTACAGTTTAGTACGATAGGAGGACTTGATGAGCTTTCCTTTTTGTCGCCATTTTGTTTCTTGTTGCAGAACATAGTCCTTTAGTTGCCTGTCCATTGTGGAAAATTCTTCAATTTCACTGGCAAATCTTCTTTTGCAACTATTTCTCACAGTTAAAGTCAGAAAAATGTGATGACGATTCAGTGATTTAGATCTATTCCTGCATCTAAAAAAATATATATACTTAGGTGCAAATTATGGTACACAATACCCCAGTTGACAGAGCAATGAATTATTCTGCAATCACGCCACGTCTTATCCGTATGTAAATTATAGAAACTATTGATTGCAATCTAACAGAATCATCATGTGGAGAAGGAAATCTAATTTAACCTCGTAATATTTCTTTATCATGAATAAGTATAATTAACGTATCATCATTCCATAAAGACAAAAGGAGTAGTTTGCTAGATGTCGTAGTAAAGATGTTGCAGAACATGGAGGAAGAAAAAAACCCACTATAATCATCATGCTGTGGAATTTTAAACAGTATTATGGAATATAGTAGGATGGTAATGCACATTACGCTTGACTTCTTAATTAGCAAAAGTAACATGCTACTAATCATTGACACTATTTGTCTGTTTCTAAACCATTTAGATAAAAATTATGTCCCTGCAGGTAAGGGTACTACGGAAGGATTAATGTGGAGTACGGTGATGTACATACTTTAGAATGGAATTATAGATCATGCTTTGTACTAAACTTCGTGGTAGCAGAAGAATAGTTTTGGGGGATCAATTCTGATAATCATATGATTTCTTTGTAGCCATTGCAACATGATGCTTATCTCACTGAATACATGATTCCGCCAATTCAGGGTCCTGTCACAAAGTTAATGGGTTCAGAGAATTTTAATGTTGATTCAGCCTTAAAAACTTTCAATCAAGAAGTCGGCAAGGGAACAAACTTTCATGAGCATTTGTTCATCACGCATTGTGATTCATTGGAATGAAGCTCAAAAACATGCTAGGAATTTACAAGTATGACGCTGAATTGAGTAAGCAAGAAACATTCGATGTAGTAAAATTCAGATAAGGCTAGTCATCAAGAATTTATTGTATTATGTTTTTTTAATCATCTAGTAGCACTTGATTTAAATTAGAATGGACCAGTTTCATTGAGAGCCAATCAACAATCTGAAACAAATACTGTTATTGAGTTTAAAAGAGGTTAATTTGAGTGTTATGGCCTTGGGTTTTAATGATACTTAAAGTGAAACAAATTCCAATCTGGAAGGTACTTCTCTCCCTGAAGCAACAACAATTTCTGCCATCACATGCCCTTTTATGATAAATTATCACCATCAGTTGATCTCATCTGCTGAATTCGCCTTTTTATATATATGGAGATAAAAATATGCTTCCCTTCTGATTCTGTGTTGAACAACAGAATCTGCACTAATTAGCAGCAGCTTGCATGGTGGGTAATATTGTTGTTCTCTAGTGCACTAGGTTTGTCTTGCCCATTTCTTGTGCTCCCTTTGATGGAAGGTTTCCATAGGTGTTGAAA